GAATGTGCTGTCTTTAACTATTCAATTTGCTTTTTTTTTTCTAATCGAATAGCTTTTAGTTGATCGCGTGAATTCTCATTAACACTTTTTCTATTTATATTATATACTCTATTATATATTCCTAATTTATAATAAGGTGAATAGATGGAGTGTACTCATAGTATGCTAGACGACTGTCTGCAGTTCAGTCAGGCAACTCCTTCCGTGTACTTTGTTTACGTTGCGAAGCATAGATACACATTCCTTACGGAAAGGGATAGAATGAGAAGAGAAAGAGGTAGTAAGCTATAGAGAGAATGAGAGAGTAGAAAGAAAAGTTGAGAAAATATATGCTATAGATGGATTGACAAAACCTTTTGTATAAAGATGGAGCTAAGAAGTGAACCAATCTTCTTCCAACAAGTGTCTATCAACTTCCGCCATTACGTCGTTTACTCTTCTTCCCTTCAGAATATATTATAACACAATAGTAAATCTAAACGTGTGAAATAATAATCTGTTTGCGTTATATTACTACACAAAACTTTTTAATTCCAATGTTGCTTCGCTTTGGGAGGGCTAGAAATGCTTTCTTTTTTTCTCAAATTAGGCAGAGCTTCAGCTTGCACTAACCATGTAGTGAAATAAAAAATGTTTGAATATGCGCACTCGCACAAGATCAAATTTTCTTGTTTGCTTCAATAAAATTGAAAATTCTCTTAAACCTGCTTCATTTGATTTTTCTCCCCCCCCCCCAGCTTCCTTTGTAGAAAACTTCTAGTGATGCTTTAACTCTCAAATACAAGTTCACAATCAATGTCCTTTCTCCCTCTGTACAAACCGCAAACACAAGAAAATTATTTGATTATATGTTTTAATGCAGGCGATTCTGACTGTTGTATTTTCAGCCAGTGCCGTCATCTTCACGCAGTAGTGGTGGTTCCAGTCATCCATCTGCTGCTCTTGGCAACGTGAGAAATCACCATCATCATCATCACCATCATAACCATCATCATCAATCCACAGCCGTGACAGCTACAGTCGGACTACAGAAGAATACAAGCACCGACATTACTTACGATCATCAACATACCGATTCCGTCAATAATCAAAATCAACATATTTTACATCTCACGACGGCTGCTCCAGTTCTACATACCCCGGCATTGCCTAGCAATCTTCAGGCACCTCACGGCGCCATTGTGGCTGCCGCTGCTGCGGGCCGTATCTCCACAATATTCCATCAGACGTCCAGACCGGTTGATCTCGGAGCCTATATTGACAAGATCGTTGAAACTCTTGTAGTGAACGGACAACAACAACCTGCTATAGTTCAATCTCTACAGAACCAATCATCAATATTAGCATCCACGAGCATAGAGAGGCCTCCACAGCCTAGGGTTAGTCAGAAAACTATCAATAGAGTTTACAATTGTCGTTTTCAGTTTCTCCCAGGAACTAATAAAGAAGAAGCCAATGTGATGGGAGCTTGTGATCTGCCATTATCCTATACACAGATCAACTGCTTGGAAAATGTGCACAGATTACTCAAATCACAATCAAGACCGGAATCTCCAATTCGAAATGATTCATCTTCCTGTACATCGAAGGAAGAAAGCCAACGGTTAGTATTTTTTTATTCTCATATTTCCATTTTCCGTCTTCTCTCTCCTTGAGGCGAAGATTTTAAACGCTTGTCCATCTTTATCGTTTGACGTTGCGTGCCTGGTACGCCCTAACCCCTTAGGCGAATATCTGCCAACTCAATGGCTCAAATGAACTTATGCCAGCTGCACTTTCATTTTCTTAAACAAAAACTTTGCAATCTTTTGATTTCTTTTTCAAAATCGATTGTGATGGAACACAAATATTTTTCTTTATTTTTTATTGAGTAAAAGAGAGGAAAAGAAGGAATGTTTTCTTGTTCTACAAGTCACACCTATACGATGAAACCGAGAATTGTTCTTTGTCAACTATGACTAGTTGAAGCTAAATGGGTTGTTTCCATCTAATAGATGTAAACATCCAAAGAATTCTTCTTCAGTATTCAGTCTCAAAAAAAGAAAAAACTGTCCGTTCAGTAAACAGCTTATTGCCAAATGAGTGGAATAACAAAGAATAGATGGAAAAAAAGGGTGAAGGATGACTATCTCAGACGAACAATTGATAGTTGTTTTGAAAGATTCATTCGTAAGATGATGTTCAAGCTTTGATTACCATTTCCATTTATTTCTTATTCTTCTTTAATCATTCCTCTTTACGTAATTATTATAAAATAATAAAAAAAAACAACAAAAGTTCCTCTTCCTTGTTCAATAGACAGATTACAATAAGATTGTTGTTTATGCTAATGATCTCCTCATCTCTTTTTTCTGTCATACCTTACTGATAGCGATACCTTTCATTTCTCACCCACTTCTCTTCCTCTTTTTCTCTTCTTCTCTCTCTATCTCTTTCTCTCTCTTTATTTTATTCTCTTTCATCAAAAGTGCATCGTCAAATGTATCTATTTGTATGCGTGGAGTTCTTTTCTGACCATCTCTTCTCTCTAAACCGTAAGTGCTATATGACCCTCTGACCTATTGGTACCAGGTGGTTGTTTGTCGCATAGGACCTCTCTGTCTTCTTTTTGAAGGCCATATTTGGGGTCTTTGCACAACAACAACACGTAGCACACGTATAAAATGAAGAGAATAAGGTGATGAGAAGAGTAGGAAAAACCCGTAAACAGTCTCTCTACATCTCTTAATTATATGTTATATTTCCTTTCACCTATCTTTCACACGTGTAACAATCCTGCCAACCGGCACATAAGGTAGCCCATGGGGTCAAACATGTCATTTCCAAGGGGACTTGAGGACAATCATCAAATACTCTAATAAATTCATCAAATTGTTCATTTCAGATCAAGCTCAGCCTCAATTCCTTTGACACGAGAAGCTCTGATGCAACATAATAAACGTTGGGAAGAAGAATACCGTGATACATGGAATCGTCGATTGAAACGAATGTCTAGTGAGCTTTTGCCTGGAAGCCCTTTGGCTAAGCATGCTCGTCCGAGCTCATCATCTACCCCGCCAACTCATTGGCCTGTCGCTCAACGAGAAGAGTATTATCGCAGCTTAGCACCAAATCCACCTCCACCACCAGGAAAAAACTATGAGGTAAGCAATAACCATGACATTCACTTCCTAATTCAATCTCGCTTTAGATCACGTCTGTACCATTGGGACAATCCGATAGTTATACTTTAACCGCGGTTCCTGCTACCTCAGCTTTCACTGCTGTCCTGCCAAAAGCTGTCCCCTTGAGGGACCTACCTCAACCTATAGCTTTAACTATTCAAGACCAACCATCAGTTATTCAAACCAATGCTGAACCATTGATGATTGCTCTGCCTCCAGCAGGTCGTCTCTTGTACGCCTGTAGGCATTCTTCCATCAATGGCACTGCGTCTGCTACAACAGCAACAATAGCCAGCAATAGCACTAATGGTACATCAACGACAGCTTCCAGCTCCAAACTATTGAAAGCTGCAGTTTTCACAACACCCGCAAGTCATCTCACGAGTTTGAACACCAGTTCTCCAATGATGATTCATGAGACTGTTTGATCTCGCTTATGTATCCAGCTCTAGGTTCATCATTAATTATTTGATCGTTTTCTATTCCGGATATAAGATATCTTCTTTCTTTATTATTCTGGGTAAAGCTCACTGCCAATAGATGTCGTTAATCGCTGGAGAGCAGAACAACTACCTCAGGCGTCTGATTCACACCTCATGGCATTTTAATACTCTCCTCATCTCTTTTCTTAATTATTTATTTTATTTCTCAATTGTTCGATCTTTTTCCCTAATAGGCTTATTTGCAATTCTTGAGTCTCTGCACTATAGCTATAATTACAAAGCTTGTGCATCTACCCGACGTTCTTTCTGGTTCTACTCTAGTTCTGTCGACTTGCCAGCTTATCGTAACTGCTCGCGTGTCGGAACATACAGATCAAGAGATCCTTTTTCATATTTAAATCCCCTCGCTTAACTGTTCTATATTCCCTTCATTTCATATGCAATTCCAAATACTTTATCCATAACTTTACTCAATCTTCAAAATCGTCTCATTTCGAACCTCATATCCTTCTAACCCCCTACCCCTCTATCAAATACTCATTTTTTCTACCTTTTCCCTTCTTAACCGATTCTAAACCGAGAGTATACAGACTGCCTAACCTATGTGATGTTTTCCATTCCCGTTGTCTCACCCGAGAGTCTTTCACGCCCGAGTCCGTCGGAACCCGTATCTTGAACCGAACGTGCTTGCTTCTCAAGTCAGCAATTCCCAGCCTAAGCTTTAAAAACATATATATATATATATAAATATATTATTACAAAATAATATAAATCTGAAATATCTATATATAGTATCTATTATGATGTTATAATGCCATCAAATGAAGCGACTGAGAAGCGGGTGATTAGTAAGGAAGAGATCCGTTGAATGTGCAATCCGTTGATAGTTTATATATTCCCAAATCTATCAATACTTTTCTAATTGTTTAACTTTTTTTTAACCTCATTCTCCCCCTTATCCATTTTCATGTTTCTACTCATCTCCTCTCTCCCCTCTCTCTCTCTTGTTGACCTCTTTGGTCTTTCATACAACAATCACTGTTTTTTGAAGATTACTTGTATGTGAATAATAGGTTTTTATTTTTAACATTTGGAATAAACTGTTTTATTTCATTACGTATGTACATAACAACTCGAAGAAACCGAAAACATGTAATGACACTCATTGATACAGAAATTAACAAAATGCCTCAAATCCCGTGTACAATCTGAATAGACGATTGATTAAAAACTTTCAAGATATTTAAACAACAACTGCTATGGATAACATAACTAGAACATCTTTCACACACACACACACACACACTCCCACAATGAACAAAACCCTCAATTTATAAAACTAGGAAAAAACAACCGTTCTGCGAGTCTGCACCATGATCAATACATACTCATATCATCTCGTACAGTTTCCCGGAACTTAAAAAAAATTATTTTAAGAGCGATCAACGCACCGTTCAACAACTTTATATTAATAATTAAATACTATTATTCATTAAATACTATAGATTTTGAGATTTTTTTATGTTTTATTTTTATTATAAAGATTATTTCTAATGTCTACCCCTTGATCCTCCTCTCTTACCACCTCTTCCCCTTCCTCTACCACCTCTTCCACCACGACCTCTTCCTCTGGTCAAAGTTAGCTTCGAACGATCGGCATCTGTCATATAAGCGTGGTGAAGGTTCAGATGTTCTTTCACTCCTTCGTCACAAAACACACATCCTTTCCATGATAACTTTTGGTCAGGCAGTTCAATTTTAGGTGAGTCCTGAAAAACAATTCGCCAATGCTGGGACACACTCGATCATCAGTACCTTATATTCTATATTTAGTAGTTGACTATTACATTCTTCACACGAGTTATCTGTAACTTTGAGCTTGCTGGCTCCATCAAATACTGCTACGACCGATGCACATTTGTTGCAACAGAATCTCCACTTTGGTTTGGAGTTCGGATCAAGAACCAGAACGCCTAGAAATCAAAGATGAACAGCTGAAATCATTTTCTCAAACACCTCCACAATCACGGATACATCCACATAGACCAGTAGCGCTGAAGCAAATATAAAAGTGAAGAGAAACAATTGTTGAACTTCATACATGAACGATTGAGGACAGCTAGGGTGTTCGCAAAGATCACAGCCACTACCCTCCTTCATGCTCTCGAATGGAGGATTGTTGAAACAGTATGGACAGAAAACGTAATTCCGGGCGAGCTTGCCTCCTGGTCCCTGGAGTAAAAAGTAAACTACTCATTGAGAAGAAGAAAAACCGCTGCGTAAAGAAGTTCGAAATCATCAATGGGACACTTCTTCTCTCCGAAAGGTCTGAGCATAACGTCTCTTCCATTAGGTACAGAATAAGTTTCCTACGGAAGGAAGAAAAGTTTACGGTCAGTTTCCAAATAAAGTACCTGGCAAGTAACACAATACAAACGCTGCGGCTTCGTCTGCACTAGTTTCATGAACCTTCTACATTTTCCACATTTACTGAATGGTTTTCCAGAATCAGGTAGACTAGTGAACGAAGCTTCGAATAGAGAATCCACAGAAGAGATACTTTTGACATAATAAATGAATTTGGTCCTAAACATTTCCAAAGCATGATGTTTGACCTATAAAGAAAAGAAAATTTTGCACTCAATTAAATATTAATTACAGCGAAGAAGTCAGCTTCCCCCTGAGCGATCAGACAGAGCTGAGTTTCTACTTCAGCTCTCATGGTTGGCAAGACTAATTCTCTATCAACTCTCCAATATCCATGCACTAAAGATATTCCTAATTTGGTGGGAATCAACCGTCTGCCAGACTCGACCTGAAGTAATCCATGTTTCGAATGACTGTCAAAGCTCCACAACTTACAGTTACGTAGTTTCTTTGACAAACCGTGTTAATATGCACAGGTATAGAAGCATCAGTACCTATTCCATGTTTCTCCATCAACGAAATTAATTCCGATTCCGTCAGATATCCAGGAGGTGAAGTTTCCTTAGCCGCTAAGTTAACATCTCTTCAAAAACATATAGTATGAAGTATCCAATCGAATCTTACGATAATGTCAAAGATTCTCCTCTTTTCAACGTTGGGACGGAGCTCTCATCTTCAGCCTCAACAGACTTCAAAACTTCCAAGAAACCCGGGTCAATTACTCGAGACCCTTTCATGCTTAGTTGTTCCTCATTACATGTGATACTGAAAGTAACAAAAGTATATCTCTAGACATTATCTGCACTAACTGGATAGTTGTAACTTCAGAAATGCAAGGACCCATCAGAGTTGCTATGAAATGACGGACCACATACTCGTAAATCCGGGACATATCTGTATAAACACCTAGTAATGTTTTCAAGGAATACATACCTCCGCTAAGTTGACCATTGTTCCTCTTCATAGGTGTGATGGGAGGATGGTCGCCTTTGTCTACACCACCCTTTGGTTTCTTAATCCCTTCATTGAGCACCTAATAATAACTCAATTCACAGAAAAACTGAAGACGAACACTAACTTTTCTAGCTACATCTCCCCAAATCCTATCATCCGTTTGTTGTTCTAAAGTTCCGTGGAGATCAAAGTTTTTAGGATAAGATGTGGTCTCAGTTCTAGGATACGATATGAATCCTTGAGTATACAAATGTTCAGCGACAGACATGGTCGTTGCTGGTGAAAGACCTAAAAGGATGTTTACTCCCAATCAGTCTTAAAATCTGGCAACCTAGAGAACTACTAGCTATTCTCATTAGTTCAACAGTGTTCAAAGCCGATGGCTTATCTCTCCGAGACTCTTTCTTTACTATGTCTTTGACTTCTGCAGTTCCTGCTTTCTGAAAATGCTTCTTGACGAGAGATAGATGGCATGCGAGACAAACCTTAATCCGCTCAACGAATAGCTGGGCTACTTCTCGATCGAAAATACGTCCTCGTTGCCATTCAGGTCTTATAGACTGTTGTGTTGATGTTAAAAATGTTGTTTGTAATACCCAGTACGGCTCAGGCTAAATACATCAATGAACAATATCCTGGTACGTTTGTTTTCACCTTGAATTGTGTGATCTGATCATGACGAGTCACGCAAAACCCGAGGGTAGGGGTTTGACAGGGTCCGTACGATATAACAGTACTGTCCAGGTCTCCATACTTTCCCTATAATTATCATTGGCGTGTAAAGAAACATTAACATGAGAGTTTAACTCACTTGAAAATATTTGGTTTGGAATCTAGTGAAAGAGCATCCAACCCTGAGATCCAATTCTTGTCTAGCATCAACTGAGAGAGCTTCATTTCTGTTTGGACGACCCAAGTTTCTCATAGCAGCTTTGATATCTTTTTCCGTGATGGCAGAAAAGTGCGCCCTGTAGACGTTATCCATAAAGTTACCACTAGCAGGCTTCTTCATGGAATGTTGAACTGCATCTATAACCTGAAGCAAGGAGTTAACAGTCTATCAACATCATGAACTTGCTTCAAAACAAATATTTTCTCCTTCTTTATCACAATCGAGCCATAGCACTAAGTATTCTGCCCCTTTGGCTTCGCTGGCTAAGTACTGAATTTGAAAATTAGTATTTGATGTACAGATCTATACTATACGTCATTCATTTTCAACTTCGGATTGGCTTCAAGCTTCACGGTCGGTGCAGAATACAATTCCACAGGATCGGTCTTCTCCCAGTTATTGTATTTCATAGGAAAATCAAGCGTCATGATATGCCCACAGGTACTTGTAACCTGCAAAACGGTTTTGGGTTTCATGAATTTGACAGACCTTAAACTTCACGGACTTTCCCATGAAATTCCCGTAGTACTCACTAACAGAACAAGCCCCATTGAACCCTGGAAGGACATGCACTTCATATGCTACTAATTGTTAGTCGGACCTTTTCTCTTTTCGAATTTATTATCAGATAGTAATTTGGCAATGGATTCAGCCAACATAGGCTTCTCAGCCACCATTAGCACCGTGATCGTCATTCTTAAGTTCAACCATAAACAAAGATTTATCAGAACTGAGATAGAAGGGGATGAGATAACATCGAAGATCACCAAAAACAATCAGAAAAACAATTTATTCATAAATAACAATAAACAACAACAACAACAAATAACAACTAATTCATCGGAAACTGTGACCAAAAGCTTCCTGAAAGAGATCATATGAGTGACTCGGAGTAAACAAGACTACTCTACCTTTGGTGGCCATTCCATATCAACCTGTTCAACATCCAATTCAAGAATATCTACTTCTCCGTTCTGTACTTTCAGTAGGTCAGCCAGAGAAGGCTGTGTTCGTCCAAAGTCCCCATGAACAAACTCTTTTATATAAGTTCCCGCTTGTGTTTCAAGTCTGTTAAACATTTGATTGAAAAGAAAAGGAGTTTGATCGAAACCTTGCTAAGAAATGATGATCATCTAACCGGAGAAGCTCCAACGTGTAAATTGACCTGGGACGATCCAACAGGGCTCGTCTCTTCAACACTCGTACAGGAGTCTTCTGAATAACTTCTAAGGGGATCTTCTGAACAGCTTCCACGAAAGATTCCGGTGAAAGCTTCAACGTGCTGTAACAATAAGCTGTGTAAAGCTTCCTCTTCTCTGAAGACGGCGTTTATAATGACCAAAAATGATATAGAATCGAACCTTCTTGACCAATGTTCAATAAATCGACCTGTTCCTTCGTAACCCGAGTCAAATACTTCACTTGAACAACCTGATGAAGTTGGTTGATTCTGTTTTCAACTTCTTTCAGTGTATCAGTATGGTTCGTTCTGAACGTTCTTATAGATGTAAACTTCCTTCAATACACTTACCCTCGTAACTTCTTCATAAATCTCGTGTTCTTGAGCTCTACAGCGAAAGGTCTACCTTCTCCTAACATTCGAACGTCGATGTCTTCTCGTCCAGAAGCTATGAACGATGTGTCTTGAGCTCCGAAAACTTCTCTCAAAGTTTCACAAACTTTTTCAGAAACCTAAGAACACAACTGAAGCATCATATCAGCGGAAAGACTCACTGAGTTTCCAGGCTCTTTGAAGCCTCCTTTCTCTTCAGTTGACCAAGGTGATTGCGGGAGGTTTCTTGAATACTTGCAGTACCTTCCGGCTATATAAACAGGGTCTCTCTCAAAATCTAATCGGAAAGTGCATTTCTTCGTGGGAGCCGCGATTTTGTATGCACTGAAGATAAGCGGACGTCAAAGTCTTCTGGATAACGAACTCACTTTGCAATAGGCTGCGTGAACTTGCCCTGTATTTGTTGAAGTTGGACCTTAGAACAGTCTACTTCAGATTCAGAGCCTTCGTTGTTCCTTTTTTTGCCTTGTCTATACTGATTGGGGAACTGTTTGCAGAGAAAAGCATTATCGCTTTCATGGAATTCAGGGTTCTCAAAGGAAATTGTCAGTCGCAAATCTGAGGAAAGGGTTGGGCGCAGTCCTGAAGTCTAACTCGAGGTTAACAGAAGAGATCAGGATGTTTTACCTGGGACAGTTTCATCAAATAAGCATCGATGTTTCTGATCTTATATGGTACATCAATGAGAATCCCATTGAAGTCTGGTCTTAACTTTCTCAAAATCAACTCTCTCAAAGTTTGTGAGAACGGTAGGTTCAGAGCTAGTACGAAGGAAGAAGCGTCATACGGTAGATCAGTAAGCTGACGTTCGACCTCAGAAGCAACCTTAGAAGAGCAGAAGTATATGGAATCAATGATTCTGGTACAAACCTCGTCAATGAACGAGTCATCGAGCAATCCGAAGCATAGGAAACAATTGAATGGTTCCTGACATAACGTTACTTGAGGTTTATCCTCACCAGAAATTTGACGAATACATTTTGAACATAGGGGTATGCTTGTGGCTTCAATGTTCTGTGACATCGTTCTACATTAGATGTGGAATAACTGACGCTACTTGGAAGTTGGTAGTCTAATTCAAACTTCTGACACTTCTTTCTAATTTAACAACATTCTTAAATAAACACATAATTATAAGAAATTGGTCCTCCACGGAAAATTTTCGTACGCGACAACGCGTGCGTAACCTATGCAAGCATCACGGCAAACCGCGGCTGATGAAATTTTCAGAGCTTTTTTATATATTAAGATTCATGTTATTATGCTTTTTAACATGTATATTTGCGTGTATTTATTTTAATGTTATACATTTGAAGGATGGCTGCAAATAAGGGTCAAGAAGCTATGAAGAAAGCTCTCCAAAACGCTCGAGGAGCCGGGCTTGGAGTTGGTTTACTTGCTGCTGCTGGAGCTGCAGCTTATGGAGTTGCTCAATCCATGTTCACAGGTTTTTAGATATTTATATTCTATTATAATTTTTGAATTTGTAGTCGAAGCTGGTCACAGAGCTATTATGTTCAACAGAGTAGGAGGATTGTCCAATGAAGTGTATAAGGAAGGACTTCACTTCAGAGTACCATGGTTCCAATATCCCATTGTTTATGATATCCGTGCCAGACCCAATCAAGTATGAAAGTCATTATTAATCTTGTATTTTCGTTCTTTGTTTAGATCAGATCTCCCACTGGATCCAAAGATTTACAAATGGTAAACATCGGACTCCGTGTCTTGTGCAGACCAGACCCTGGTAGCCTTGTAAAAATTTATAGAACTCTCGGACAAAACTGGGAAGAGCGTCTTTTGCCTTCTATCTGTAACGAGGTACGCTGCATTAAGGTCGTAACTGTTCACAAACGATATTATAGGTTCTTAAAGGCGTTGTCGCTAAGTTCAACGCTTCCCAATTGATTACTCAACGTCAACAAGTATCTATTTTGGTAAGAAAAGCACTCATTGAGCGTGCTTTGGATTTCAATATCATCCTCGATGATGTTTCCATCACTGAATTAGCTTTCTCAGCCCAATATTCCGCTGCTGTTGAAGCCAAGCAGGTTTGTGAAACTCTTTGTACTTTGTACATCTTATCTTCATGTGTTCAGGTTGCAGCCCAAGAGGCCCAACGTGCTCATTTCCTTGTTGAGAAGGCCAAGCAATCTAGACAAGAAAAGATTGTCCAAGCTGAAGGAGAAGCTACTTCAGCTAAAATGGTAAGTTGATAAGACTTATAAAAGTTCTTTGTCGTATATCTTGACCTACTTGGTAAGCGTGGCGAGTAGGTTGTAAAGGGCGACAGAAAGTATTAGGGATAATTCACTCAAGAAAGTGTTTCAAACGTCAATCCACTTTCGCATTTAAAAATACTTACCCAAACAATTTCAGTTAGGAGAAGCTATGCGTAATGATCCTGGTTTCTTGAAACTCAGAAAAATCCGTGCTGCTCAGAACATTGCCAAGCAGCTTTCTAAGAACCCCAACAACAAGGTAAGAGTGATTAGACAGTATTCAAATGACATTTGTTTCTTTTCAGGTCTACCTCCCATCAGGTGGATTAATGTTGAACATTGCTGATGAAGATTATCTCTCTGTAGCCGGCGATAAGAAGAGACGCTAAATTTAAATTGTACTGCTCATATCTAGCCTTGAGTGTTGTTATAATACTGAACTGTAATAGTATAGATTGTTTAGTTGAATTGTTTTTTTTGTTATCTTAGAGTGTTTAGATGTATGATGAATGATCTGTTACCTATCACATTCTTAACTTTGACATAAACCTTTTATAAATCAACATATTATTTACAGACATGTAATAAATGCGCCGCAAAATATTTCTAAAATTCAAATAGGTTCCAAAATAAGTGACTAGATTGATTGAGGTATCGCTGTTTGATGCTTATCCTTGTTCTTCGATATGCTCTTTGAAACAGCTCTTGATATCATTAAGTACTGCCCAGCATGGCAACATCGAGACGTCAGCCTGAATGTAACTGTTTGATCAAATCACTTTTTGCTATCACGAACCTGGAAGGTAATTCCTGGACGCATATTACAGAAGCCCAAACATTTCTCTCCAGCTGAAGTTCTATGAACGTCCTTGGATCTACAGCACGTTGTATGATCGTCATTCTGAGCTGCACATTGTAAAAGATCGAGGCCGTAAGATTGAGGACATGGATCAGTTCCCAAAAACATTCCAGTAAGCTGTAATTTCAGTGTTTTTCATGATATTCTATTTGATCACTTACAGTCTTCTTACTGAGAACGTCGAAGTTACAGATACGTTCACAAGGTTTCGCCACCTTTCTCTTTACACAACACTCTAAGAAGACATCGCTTGGTGCGCCGCCGGCAGATGAAGCCTCTGACGGTCTAGAGACTTCGGACACAGATGGTCTACGAACATGGCCTTGAGACACGGAGCCATGAGGACGAGTTTCTTGGGAAACTGATGGAGGTGGTGGAGGTTGTTGACGATGGCCAGTAGTGACAACTGAAGGAATGTTAGCAGCATTGTTGATGATAGGAGCCTGAAAAAATGAGAATGAGGTTTCTCCTGATGAATAGTTATCCCGAATGATAGAATCGTAGCTTTTACTATGTGTTACTATTCAGGCTGAATAAAATGAGAGAAAATATAAAAAGGGATTCAGCAATAAAAAGAAGATAAAGGAAAACGGGTATGTTTCCACTAAGTCTGCCTTCAATGCTTGTCCCTGGTCAGTTTTTGACGAGGTGTATATTTAAGAATCGATGGTGCAATAAGGTACAAGGAAGAAATGTTTAGGACCGGAAAATAGGATTGACTAATGCTTCAATATCTAGTCGTTGACTTTGTTTGAAGATAAGGCTTGATGTATGATGTAAAGAAGCTATGATCTAAGAATTACCTTCAGTTTAGTCTCGGGTTGAGGAACATAACGTTGTTGTTGGACTGGAGGATTGATGAACTTCTTAGTGACCTGTAAGTGTTAGATTATCTTCTGATCTACTCAGGTTTTCAGTTAAAGAACGCTATGCTAAGGGGGGTTTAATGGATATAATGAACAAAAGTAATACTCTAAGAGGGGCTGTGTGACGTTCCACATTTTCTACGTAGCTAGGATGATTTCCGTCGACAATGATTTCTTCAGCTACATAGGTGCCCTCAGGAATGTTCTAAATTGATGTTTACAGTCTCGTATCCCGTTCTATTGGAAGGAATCTATTATCTAAGCAACTAGTGTTACACTATTAGAAGGTTATCTAACATGGCTACATCAGTATCAGTATGTCTCTACAGGGTTAGAGCTATTCTTCGAACCTCATTCTGGGTTAAAATTGTAACCACTTGAGGTCTTGATAGACGAGCTGGCGAAATATTCTTCTCGGGATGGTACACATCGGATACATAAGGTACAAACCGCTCTGGTGGAGGTGGGACCTGAGCAAATTACGCTCCGAATTGTTAAGACAAGTCAGTATTCTTATTTAGTTTTCGAGTATGAACTATCGAATAATTAAAGAATTTGTATTTACCTGAGGAGCGTAGTTTGGCTTGATTGGGGCTGGTGGAGGTGGAGGAGGAGGAGGAGGAGGTGGTGGTGGAGTAGCGGCATTCACTTGTTGTTGGTAATATTGTTGTTGAGCGACTTGAGGCTATAAAACACACCATGACTAGGACTAATTAGAATAACGCGCTACGTCACGTTTTTTACGCTATGTTCGCACTTTCATTTATAATCATTGCGGACCAGAGAACGGTTGGTGTCAATTACGCGCTCGTTCGGTTGCGTAAGATTCATTTAAATCATGTACATAGCATGCACGTTTCCTTTTTTTTTAATTTTTACATATAATTTACCTTCGCTTGCTGCTGATAAAGTTGTGGTTGTTCACGATACATTTGGTTTGGTGCTTGATACTGTTGTGGAGCTGGCTGTTGATACATCTGTTGTTGTTGCTGAGGCTGAGGTTGATAGTTTTGTTGAGGTGGTCCCTGTTGTTGGTATTGTTGTTGTGGAACATTTTGTTGAGCTTGTGGGTAGGGCTGTCTTTGTGCTTGTCCGTTTTGTTGATAACCTTGTTGCTGGAACTGTGGTTGGGCTTGGAATTGAGGTTGTTGTTGGAACTGAGGTTGTTGTGGGAACTGGGGTTGTTGTGCGTATTGCTGCTGCTGAGGGTACTGTTGAGGATGAGGAGCTTGTGGCTGTTGGTATTGTTGTGGAGCTTCTGGATATCCTGCTAAAAGATGATGTTTTGTTCTGTAGTGAATAGTTGCTTACCTGAGCCTTGATTTTGATAAGATGGCTGGGGAGCTTGATACTGAGGTGCTTGTTGATATTGAGCAGTTTGATCAAACTGAGGTCTCCAGAATTGATATTGAGCTCTAGCGAAGTTTTGAGCTCCGGATGCTTGGTTTCTACCGAACTGTTGTGCTATGTTAGCATGGTATTGTGCAGAACTGAAGTGTACTACTGAAAAACATATTGATAATTTGATTACGAGACGTATTGGTTTAAGTTCTCAATATGTGAATGTTTGGCATGAGGTTTTCGTTTTTGAGACTAATCAGATTAAGGATGGTGATAATAAAGAGGAAGGCCTCCGGTGCGAATCCTTCATTCAACCTTGGCTTCTGTGGGATAAATGAAATGGATAGGTAGAACTATTCGGAACCGATTAAGGAAAACACGTTCTTTTTGAAAAAAAAAAGAAGATGAAAGTTGAAATGGACACAGGATGAATAAAATGATGTTGAATGAGATAGCTTCATATTATGCATCCGTAAGTACAGCTGACAGTCGAAGGCAAAGGAGAGATGAAGGCAGAGGGTAAGCGCGCAACTCAAAATGCTTGTTTCTGCTACTTTTCCAGATTTTTTTATTCATTTGTGTATATGGTTTGTTCGAACAGATATATGATTATGAATAATAAACTAATAGTGAACGAAAACTGCCCTACGACTGTTTTGACGTGACTAGTTTCTTGTAGCTTTGCAATCACAATGTTATACGTAATTAGTTGAACGTATAGTTTGACTAGTTTATCCGTCAGAAATGAAACTCATACTTGAAGAGTTGAATGATAGTTCGAAGAAATAAGCTTAAGTTATCATTTCAGAAATGACATTACTTCAAAGAATGGATCATGATTCACGTAACCCATGAAGAACAGGGAGTGTCGTTTCGAAAAGGGCATATTGTCATGAAGAAAAGAAAGGAGAAAAGAGCAGAGCCAATGTGAGTTTGTATCGTTTATTCTTAACTTCAAAATCGCATACCTGGGAGTAGAAACGAGATCAACGCAAGCCACATGGTCTGCGGCCGCTAAGTGCGCTCAGGAGAAGCTGGGCTAGCGGCTAGTGGACGGATCCGCCCTCAAGCAATAAGAGGAAGCAAGAAAAGGAAAAAGAGGGATGAGATGGAATGAGAGAGAACGGCAGAAATAGGAAAGAACTGTAAGAGGGGGAACGAGGCATAGAGAGAGGAAAGATAATTCTCTGAACTTTTCTTTCTCTTTTTCTCTCTCTCTCTTCCCACCCCTTCATGACCACATTGCTACACATGGTCGTCGCACAATCGTTGTGGTCGTTCTACACAATTCATTGTCACATCTTTTCCAATTAAGGAAGAACATTGTTTTATGTATCATGTATCCGCTAATCTAGTTGTATTTCATTATACGAAAACATGAAAAGATAGCTGTTAATCTTCCAGGAGTATGACATGAATTCTTTTTGTCGCTTTGTGAACACACAGCCAATTTACGGGAACTGATTTGAGAACGAATTTGTACAGAAAGAGGAAAGAGATAACACCGCTGTAAACAATTCGCATGCCATCCATAGTGGATGCAGAACTGTGCTACTTTCTTTGTTTTCTTCAATCTGCAGCAGTCAAAGTACGGAATTAGCCTGGCTGATGGTTGTCGACAGACATTATTAACGAGATTATTGGAAACGCAATACGTACCCATTTATCATGGACAACGCTATCTTCCTACAAGTGTTTGAAACGATAGCCAGGATTAGGCTTAGACAATTAGCTAACGGAACGTGGACGCAAATTCCAATGCATAATTATGGTCAACTGTCATGGTTGATTGCCAGCTTTCAGTCAACAGTATCTCCATTTACATGGAAGAACAAGCCTTAGTATAATTGTCAACAATCCAAATAGGATATTCTGAAGATGGAGTAGTCCAGAGTGCAAACTCAGCGGGGTTTATTTCTTTGATTCTGTTTTGTTTCTGTTTTGGTTGGCACAGATTCGAGTTGTTATGTAGTGTGTGTAACTTTGATACTTCAGAACGAGAATGTCTGGAGGAACGACCAATTGATTTTGACAAGGAAGAAGCAGATAGATGATGATCCTGACAACGTTGTAGTTCTGCAGGCAATGATGATGTGTGGAAATAAGCTGTGAGAGATCTGAAGAACTCGTTTATTTTGGATTGGAACAATTGAAACATACACTAGATACATTGATTCTGTTTGGTATCTTCGAATATCTACCCAGGTTTTTAGATGAGAGAACTATTGACGATTGACAAAGAAAAAAAAATCTTCGAAAACATTCTTGAACATGATTAATGAACGAAGTTTCTTATCATCATACTTTATATCTTATTATATCATTTTTTGACGTCATTTTCAGTTTTTCTTCAAGCGGATGATGAGAAGCCGTTCAGGTTCGATCAATCAATACTTACATCATCTGTGAATGCCGTTTTTTGGATCGTTCTAAGAACATATTGGTAAACAATGGAATTTGCATTATTCTCAAGAATCACTTATACTTATTCAGAAGCTTTTAACCCTCTTTGTATTCCGTATACAACTTGTTTTTTTGATTACTTCTTGACCTCGACAGCATCTTCTCACTTTTTTCTGGAAATATAGTAACTCGCCTTGAATTCAATCTTCAGCTATTCAAAATGAAAGAGATGTTTGGTTTCTCAGACTCTTAGCTTTTAATATTATTTAACAAAGATATATCCGTTTAGGATGTCTTAATCATTCTGGCAATGACGTTGCTTTCACCTTCAGTGACAAAAAATGTGTGAGAGAGGCTCTAATAGGCTGTTTGAATAACTGGTTTTGCTAAACCTCTCTTGATATATCTGCCAACAAAACAAACGACACTGTGGGATGTTTGTCATTCTTTCTCAGATCGTTTCCAGAGCTTCAATTCGCCATCTTCTTCCTGCCTTTCAAAGGTATAAAGAATGCACATCTGTATGTATGATGCCTAAAGAATCAAAATGATTCGTGTCGGGATGATTGAGAACGATGACTGATCGAGTGCCATTTCAAAAGAACTCGTATTTGAAAGCTTTTAGCTTGATTCAACTGGGGGGAACAAGTCTCAATCTGATGTTAGAAAGCACTCAATAGATACTACCAATAGAGGGAAAAGACTATATTATACAAGCGGAATGTAATGTTATCTTATAATAGTAGAACGAAATGCAAGTCATTAGTTTCATTCACCTCATTCAATGGATAGACAACTCTGGAATGACCATGCTGGTAGTCAGTGTTACTGATAAGTTTTGAACTTTATCGCTTCCTCGTACATGGAGTCCATATATTCTACTGATCATACTATACAAACCGTAGTAGTAAACCCACGTTGGCAATGAACGGAAGGGGAAGAAGCTGTTGCTTCGGTGTAGATGAAAGAGGAATACAAGCATTGCTTGTACCCACACATATCACTCGATGAAATAATTTCAAACAAAATGGAGACTGTACTCAAGCTATTCGTGTAATCTGTATCGATTTATTAGACCAATATGTACTGAGATCGTATCAAACTATGAAAGATGCCTAGAATATCAATTATAAACATATAAATATTAACTTCCTAATCTATATTAAGAAATCGTCATATAGATTAGCTGTGAGTAGCAGAGGTGTTCCTTCGTCAGCTTTTCTCTTATTTTTTTTATTTAACCGTTTCTGTAGTCCGTTAACTGATAGTGCAATCAATACAACAACAATCATGAGTCCTTAAACGATAAAACCATGTGGTTTGAGAATTCAAAACATTTCTCACCTATAAAATAGGCGGAAAACTTAACGATCACACTATCCTCACTTAAACGCATTTCTAATTCGCTTTGTGATGGTACTTCGACCTGGAATAACTATTTCAAGCATTAGATTGATCTCAAGACATGCAGCTTTTATTTTGAGCTCACGTATGTTAATAATGTTCACGTAACGTTTACGTAACGTTTACGTATAGTTCACGTATACTTCACGTAACATTCACGTGAAACAAATGTGACGACGTCTATTCGAATTCATTCGTTAAGAATCAGGCATACGAATCGGTTGTTCACATTTAGATAATCAGGTGATTCTAATTATTTTTCGTTCAAAGGGAAACTAACCGGCTGCACACGCAACTTCATATTTGGAATGCTGATATCTTCCAAGCATATCAAGGAGTTCTTTTTTGTTCTCAGGTATGGGCATTCCTTAAAAAAGATTTTATATCAAGGAAGCTTTATCTATTTTCACTTTGGGTGGACACTTCCATGTGACGGGGTTAAAACTTCCGAAAGTTTTCCATATTTCTCTAGTGTAAACTGGTTCAAATAAGTTATTCCACAGTGTCTTAGCTACCATATCATGAGCTATCGGGGAGAAATGGAAACAATCCAAAGCAGTGAAAGCAATATTGATGGAGCTCTGAAATGGTATGTGGTGAAGGGTGAAAGTGAAGTCTCAGAGTATACCCCAACGATTGGTAAGAGGGAAATTTTCGATATGATGGGAGCTACAACAACAGTGAAATCAGGAGCTTCATAGTCTTCCGTATTTAATTCGAAGATGAAGTTATCCATTTTCTCTTTGACTGACTGTAGCTTTTCAGATGGATAGCCAAAAATAGAAGGACAAGTGATTCTGCAACAAGGGATCAAGTTAGAAGATGAACGAACCATACAAGCTCACTTATGAATATCAATACAGAACGGATGGCTTTCATGAGTGGATTGAAGAACAGACACATTGAACGGCGGCATTATTTGAATGTAAGTTCTTGGCATGTTCTCTTTAAGATAACTTAGAGTTTCTCTAACACTTGACTCAAAAGCTTCAGCACCATATAAAGTCTAAGAGAGTCAACTATGGCTACAACAACCTGTATACAACTCACCTCATTCTGACAAAGATCGCACAAGTCGTTTGAACCGATGAATATATTGACGAACTTCCACTTGGTGAAAAACCCGAAGGACAATTCAAGCTTCATCCTTTTCACTAGTTCTTGAGCCTGCAGCCAAGTGAGTACAGTTAATGAAATTTAGAAGCATACTTACTTGACGTAGAAGATCATGAGCTTTAGCACCGGAACGAGCGACATTAAAATGAGATAAAAGAACATTTTTATCATTGGAGATATTATGGCTTGAACCAGTTAATGAAGGAGAAAACTGACGGAATATATCTGATACAAGGGGATAGACTACAGAAACTTCCGAAATCTTACTTGGTAATGTTGCGTACTCGTATAATTCATAATCTTCACCTATTGCAAATGAAAGCCCTCTATAGTCTCTTGGAATTTCCCCGAGAAGATTTGCTCCAGTCGCTCGTCCAGCCTAAGCTACATCCGTGATGATGATATTCAGTGGATATTATACCGTTAAGGAATCACCCATAGCTCCTATAACTGATATGTGCCAGGGTGCGACGTGATGTATATCTGAAGGTTCCTTAATAGTTTCAGGGACATCACAATGGAACTGATCCCATCCGAATGGATAATCTGATGGATAGTATGGTTACATAGTGGAACAAGTAAATGGATACCTGAAGAGTAGCGGATAAACTCATCTCTCTCTGATTTCCATGCGTCAAAATCGTCAAAGAAAGGTTTGATATCTACGTCAAAAGCATGTTGGTCAATAGATATAATGGCAGATGATAGAGAAATAGCTGTAGCATGAATATATAGATTTTTGATATATATTGAATAAGCACTTACTTAAACTAAATTTTAAAAAAAGTCGAAGAGTACAGGTCATAATGAGTTCTAGGATGGAAAATGAAGTTATCAACTGCCGCCAAAAACGTTAAAGATAAAAAGAAAAAATCTTTTTGTGAGAGCGTATAGAAATGAAGGCAGTAATGTGAGAGACAGTAAAGAGGGAAAGTGATAAGAATTACCAGAGGCTTCTGCTGGTGGTGTTTTGTAGGTGTATATGTATGAATGTAAGCATGTGTGTATGTGTGAATGAGAGAGAAAGAGAATAAGCAAATGACGTGGGGGCTACTAGATTATAGGCTGAAGTTTAACTTGTGATCAAAAAGGTTGATAATGATAATATTTGTTTTACATTTTGCTTCCTTTTGTGAACAAGTTGGTAACATGTTAAGTTCAATCTCAAGTTCGTGTTTAATGTGGTCAAAAATGTAAGTAATATTTTACTTTTTCTATCATGATTGATAAGATAAAGTTACATCAATATACCCTTTTGACCTGTGCCATAGTCTCCTACTCATCTTGTTTCCTTAATGAACCGATAGAGATGCACACTGCTCCCATACGATGTCGCATAGAGACAAGTCGGTCAAACCTTTTTGATTTGCTCCTACATTCACCTTTCATCATCCTTGTTCTGTTCTCTATTCCGAATAAGAGCTTAATTTGCATTAGTATTGATTTGTACCTTATTTGCCTAGTCTCGGTCTGCAAATTCTGCTTAATCTTCTAATGATTATCCATACCTTTCTAGTTTCCTTCGACCTCGTTCTGGCTCTCTATCCTATACTCTCTCACATTCATACACTCTTTTCCTTATTTATACAAATAAGTAGTCAAATGTCCAGGTGCTTGTCTCTTCCAGAGATACGCTCACTCAGTCCGTTCTGCTCAGCGTTTCCTTCGCATATTTTCATAATTCAACCAAAGCAAAATGGTTCATGTTTGTTTTATGTTCTTGTTAGTCATGAGATCAACAGTTTGTTTCCAAAAAACGAAATCATTTTTTGTGTTGTAATCTGTCCTTGTTCACAATAAGATATGCAGCTGGATAAGAAAGGTCAGATGCGTGTCCGACGTCCTTTTATCCGCCTGAAATCGTTTCTCAGTCGTTTGCATATCTTCATAGATTCAATCGTTTCCTTTTCATATAAAGTTTCTTTTTGTGTTTCAGTTAAGATATGACTCTACTTGTGCTTTAGATATTCTAGGTTGGGAGATAAAAGCAAACATAACATCGCGACATACAACCTCCTCCTATCTCGTTTCTTCTTCCCCCCTCTCTCCTACCTTTCCCTGCTTCTCGCTCTCTCTATTTCTGTATAGTTTATTTCTTCATAGGCTGAATGCTAGAAATCAATAATCGTATGGGTCTTCTATTCATATTTGAGTCATCAGACCTCCATGTATCACATCCGCTCATTCTTTCAAACATCTTTTCAATCTATGACATCTACAATTAGATTTTCTCATTATATGTTTGTTTTCAATTCAGAAAAGAAGTCAAAATATCATCGAATCACTTCTCTCCGTACACACCTGATAGGTATGGCGATATGCACTCAACTAATGGCAAAATTCCACCACGCTCTTCACAACCTGAAGCCATAGCCGTCAAAGGGCATAATCATGATGGATGCTTGGAGAGGTAACCTTCTATTTTCCAAACAATGTTATTATTTTCTTAAAGAGTTCCTTATGCATCTCTTATGGCTACCGTCATGTGTGGGATCGGAGTTATATTGTTTTCAATAATGATTGCTTGGGGCTTCAATGCAACTGCAGAACAAACTCGAAGAACACTGAAACTCGATGACTGGCCCTGGCTTGATAAAGTAAAGAATACTTTTCATCGAATATAGCTTATAATCAATTATCTATTCAGGTTCAAATCTTTTTTGTTGTGATTTTAATACTCATGATTGTGTTCGCTCTTTTCTTCTTAGCAGTTGGTTTCACTGCTACAGGTTCTACTAGGGAGCAAATGTACAAAGGTATTCATCATATACTGTGCTTCCTTATATATATATACCTATGAATGTGTTCAGAAAAACAAGCCAAATGTGGAGGTAGATGTGTGTTAGGCTTTTCTATGGCTTTGACAGTTGCACTGGTTTGTAATGGAAGTACAGTTCCAACTAGTAAACTCTCATTTTCAGATTTTAAGTTGGATTGCCATAATCATGTTTCTATCGGCTATTTGTTTCTCTTATATTGTCTTTCACAGTATTTGTGGAGATATGGTGGATTTCTCAGAAACACAATGTCTGGACTTGTCCATATTCAGACCTCTCATTGACAAGTTCTCCAAATCGGTCAGTGGATTTTTGCTGTATCTAATTATAATGTCATTTTCTGTAGACATTGAAACTATGTGGAGGCGATGCCCAACAGTTCTGTGCGCTCACATCTACAGCTCGATCCTGGTATGTTTCTCATGTTTGTTCCCTCCTTGAAAATCATATCTTAGGTATATCGTAGGATTGGTAGGAAGTATAATAGTGTTATTAGGACTTTGTAAGTTCTTAGCTATTCATTCGGCAAACTTTTCAAATATTGGAAATGCCAGTCGGTCAGTTGTGATGACTCCTTCAGCCTTACTTGTATCTGGTTACAGCTATGTAGAACTTCGTGATCTGTTTTTGGAGCCATCAACTCCTCCCGTTCCAAGTATACCTCCTCCTATGCCTAACCGTTATCCAGAAGGACCACGACATCCAAGATCATACGAAAGATCTAGGCTTAGAGAGAGGAAAGGCTCATACACAGAAAAGTGAGTTGATCTCATGCATTCATGATCAGTCATCTCGAACTTTTTTCAGTTCAACTTATTCTGATAATAAATCAATGTCTCGAATGGCTGAGAACAAATCGGATACATTCAGCCAGTACCAATATGGTCGAAAGTATAATCCATAACAAAGGACTGAAGGCTTACCTATTCATCAGAAAATTTGGAATCCTCATCTCATTTCAATGTCTTTTCAATCATATTACCTGACCGGTATTCATGCATTAGAGCTTTCTTCACGGATAATATTAATTAAAATATTTTTGAAAATTCTTCTTTTTCGTTTTGAAAACAGCTGAGTTGATGACAACTCAAGAAAGCTGTGAAGCTAGTCGATATCCTGATTGTTTCACTCATATCTCAGCCTGTTTCTTTCATTTTTTCGGCACTCAAAGACTCTTCATTCTTTCACTTTTGAGTT